TCTGACCCTCCCCCCTCTCATGTGCTCTCTCTCTCATTCTTTCTCTCTCAAATAAATAAATAAAATCTTAAAAAAAAAAAAAAAAAGACCTCCTTGAGGGTCCTCGGTGGTGTTGAGGAGCATAAAGAGGTTTGGAGCCTAAGGCGTCTGAGAACCACTACCCTAACACAAGAGGCTCATTCATCGTTTTGTTATAAGACGACCCACAGACAGGATTCTCTTTCAGACTATGCGGTCCAGATCTTCCACGACGCCCTGAAGAATGGCAAATTTGAGTGCAACCTGAAACCCAGCACAAGTCTCCCAATGATGTATATTGATGACTGCCTCAGGGCCACTCTGGAAGTCATGGAGGCCCCAGCAGAGTCCCTCTCCATGAGGACCTACAACATCAATGCCATGAGCTTCACCCCTGAGGACCTGGCCCAGGAGGTTCTCAAGCACGTACCAAAATTCCAGATCACGTACAACGTGGATTCTGTTCGACAGGCCATAGGTGGGTATATCATTGCAAACCCCCTTCAAAACCCAAGTGAAGCTCCAGTCTGTACTGTGAGTTCCATGAGGACAAAAAGCATGGTGGATAAGGAGGGTCCGGACACATTCTGGAGAAAGAGTTGTTGAGCCAACAGATGCTGCAGTTTGGGGCACTGATATCTAAAGGGGGTAGGGGGACGCCTGGGTGGCTCAGTCGTTAGACGTCTGCCTTGGGCTCAGGTCATGATCCCAGGGTCCTGGGATCGAGCCCCACGTCGGGCTCCCTGCTCCACAAAGGCCTGCTTCTCCCTCTCCCACTCCCCCTGCTTGTGTTCCCTCTTTCGCTGTGTCTCTGTCAAGTAAGTAAATAAAATCTTAAAAAAAAAAAAAAGGTAAACAAATGCTTTAAAAAAAATAAAGGGGGTGGAATCGTTCTATTCCAAATAAATAGCTTGTCAGCATTTCGCCATTTTATCGTTGAAACATAAAACCAGCCAACAGCATAAGAAAACGTCCCTGGGTTTTCTGATGCCACTGTGGCCTTGAGCACTGTCGGAGTAGAAGAGTCCTGCCCTACAACTCCGTGGGATATTTTAATAGTGCGTCACAATTCCCAGGGCCTGACCATGGATGTGTAATAGAATCTTCTAATCTAGGAGGGTGGCTACGTGTGCACATAATGGCCACTCCGGTCTGCTCAGAGGAGGAATTTCAGAGAGTGAATTTCTTTTGTGGTATCTTGGATGATAGACCTTTATATAAAATGTGCTGGACCTTTTTGCAAATCTAGAGCCTGAGTAACTTAAGCTTCTATTCCGTGTCTTTTCCTAGCGGATAGTTGGCCGATGAACTTTGATGACAGCAATGCTCGGAAGGACTGGGGCTGGAAACACGACTTTGATCTTCCAGAGTTGGTGACGACGATGTTGAACTTCCACGGTTCTGATACTAGAGTTGCCCAGGCTAACTGAGGGAATCAGAAGGGAGAGCTCATATGTCCCGGACCGCTGTCAAGGGAAAACCTTAACGACCCCGAGGAACCTAAATTATCTGGAATGGAAGGATGAATTGGATGAGATGTTGGCAGCTCATATTGAACTGCCAGGTTGGAGAATCATGTTGGCTTTTGCATTTTCAAGATGCTGTAGGTTTGGTGGTAGGACTTCTAAACCTTTGCTGTTTGCCTAAACTTGCCCAAACACACATATCACAGAATGAAGACTTCAGTCAGAATAGTTGCCATTTCCTTAATTCAGATGAATTGACCATTTTGGGGAAGGTGGACGTATGTGATGTTTGTCATGAATTAAATTTAATTTAAATATCACTCCTGAGACTCCATTATTCTCTTGACTAGAGACCAAAGATTACATTTTAGGGGCGCCTGGGTGGCTCAGTCATTAAGCGCCTGCCTTCGGCTCAGGTCATGATCCCGGGGTCCTGGGATTGAGCCCCGCAACGGGCTCCCTGCTCAGCGGGAAGCTGCTTCTCCCTCTCCCACTCCCCCTGCTTGTGTTCCCTCTCTCACTGTGTCTCTCTCTGTCAAATAAATAAAATCTTAAAAACAAAAAAAAAAGAAAAAAAAAGATTACATTTTAAAGACTATCAAAGATTATCTCCTAATTTAAACACTATCCCATCAGGAAATAAATGTTTGCTATATAATCCCATGTTCATAATGTTCAAGAAATCTTAACACTCCCTCAAAAATTATCACTTCTAATTTACTTTTCGGTAAAAAGATGTATCTGTAGGAAATGAAGAATATCAAAGATGATATAACTAGTAATGGGGAGCACCTCTTATGTTGATTAACTTCCTGAGTATTGATTATCAGGACTGTAATTCTTTTCCCTGGCCATGTCGGTCTCCCAGAGGAACTTATGTAAATGTACAGGCATCTGGGCTCCTCCCTTTCAGGTTGACTCAACAAATGGGGATGAGAATCTCCAAGTGCCACCCGGTTATTCTGTTCCTGCTACGGCCCACAGGACCAGGTCCACACAGTTTTCTAAAGAGAACTTTTCTTGTGACAGCCTTTTTTTTTTTAAAGATTTTATTTATTTGACAGAGAGAGACAGCGAGAGAGGGAACACAAGCAGGGGGAGTGGGAGAGGGAGAAGCAGGCTTCCCGCCGAGCAGGGAGCCCGATGCGGGGCTCGATCCCAGGACCCTGGGATCATGACCTGAGCTGAAGGCAGACGCTTAACGACTGAGCCACCCAGGCGTCCCCCAGCCTTTTTTAATATACTCTTAGATTGAGCTTTCAGGAGAGCTGCTCTAAAGCCTTCTGAGGCAATTCCTATATAAATGTATACGGATTGACTTTCTTCCAGCCACCTCCGGATACCTGTGAAATCACCAGAGAGTAGAACTGCTCACGGGCATATTGGATAAAGTTGTCATGGACTAAAAGGCATTTCTATTATGTGCTTAATGACAGGGTTCTGTATTTGGAATTTTTAACTGCAGGGTAGAAACGTGAACTGTTTTGGAGGCATAACTGGATTTAAAATCTATTTAACTTTTGGGGCACCTGGGTGGCTCAGTCAGTTAAGAGTCCAAGTCTTAATTTCAGGATTGTCATAAGTTCAAACCGCACATTGGGCTCCATGCTGGGCGTGGTGCCTAAGTTAAAAAAAATAATATTTAACTTTTAACTGGAGAACTTCTAAATTATTGAATGATTTAATAGTTTATTGTTTTTTTTCCTACTTAATGAAGCTTACATTTGTGTATATTATTTTCTAAAACCAAACAGTAATGAGATTTTTGGGTTTTTTTTTTTTTTACAACTTTACTGAGATTTATTTCACATACTGTTCACTCAGTTTTGTTTGTTTTAGTTTTTTTTTTCCAGTTTTATTGAGAAATCATTGATGTACATCACTGCAAAAGTTCAAGGTGTATTGCATGATGGTTTGGTTGTGAAATGATTGGCACGGTAGGTTTAGCTAATATCCCTTATTTCCTAGAGATACAATAAAAAGAAAAGAAAGAAAAAAAAGAATAAAGGAAAAAAAATGTTCTCTTTGTGATGAGAGCTCTTAAGATTTACTCTCCTAACAGCTGTCCTGTAGATCATCCAGCAGTGGTAACTAGTCATCATGCTGGACATCACATCCCTAGTACTTACGTATCTTATCACTGGAAGTTTGTACCTTTTGACCACTTTCCTCCAGTTCCTCCTTTCCCCATCCTCCACCTCTGGTAACCACAATTCTGACTGATTTCTTTTCTATGAGGTTGGGCTTTCTATTTTTTTTTCCCCCACATGTAAGTTTCCCCCCCATATTTGTCTCTCGCGGTCTGACCTACTTCACTTAGCGTAATGCTTCAAGGTCCATCCATGTTGTTGCAAATGGTAGGATTCCTCATCTTTTCAAGGCTTAGTAATATTCCATTGTGAATATATACCATAACTTTATTCATTTGTCCATTAGTGGACATTCAGATTGTTTCCATGTCTTGCCTCTTATAAATAATGCTGCTATGAACACGGGGGTGCAAATGTCTTTTCAAGTTAGTGTTTTGGTTTTCTTGAATACATTCCCAGAAGTGGAATTGCCGGATTGTAGGGTAGTTGTATTTTTAATTTTGTGAGGATCCTCCATACTGTTTTCCACAGTGGCTGTACGAGTTTACTATCTCGCCAACAGTGCACGAGGGCTCCGTGCCCTCCACACCCTTGCCAGCATTTATTCTCTCTTGTCTTTTTTATAATAAAAAAGATGCGGGGCGCCTGGGTGGCTCAGTTGGTTAAGCGACTGCCTTCGGCTCAGGTCATGATCCTGGAGTCCCGGGATCGAGTTCCGCATCGGGCTCCCTGCTCGGCAGGGAGTCTGCTTCTCCCTCTGACCCTCCTCCCTCTCATTCTCTCTCTGTCATTCTCTCT